TTCAAATCCAAAACCAAAACGGGCGGACTGAAAACAAAAACGGTCCATAAATCATGTCCCAGTGGAAGACAGAAGCAGCTGAAAAGGGACTGAAATGTGAGTCTCTCAACACGTTGGGGTATTGCCTCCAGCAGGCGCTCATTCCCTAGCTGGGCTTTGCTGGGATATGACATTGCACACTTCGGTGTTCAAAAGGATAAAGGTGTGTCTTTCTAGAACATAACATTTTATAGTGTTTTTTTTCTGGTTATGGAAGTTAAGATACATACATTGTTGGAAAAATCTGGATAAAACTAGAAAAGCAAAAAAAATCATAATGCCCAACACCCCCTCCCTAAGATAACTTCTATTAATATTTTGGTCCATTTCTATGATCCCAGGGTCCTGGGATCGAGTCCCACATCAGGCTCCCTGCTTGGCGGGAGGCCTGCTTCTCCCTCTCCCACTCTCTCTGCTTGTGTTCCTGCTCTCGCTATCTCTCTCTCTGTCAAATAAATAAATAAAATCTTTAAAAAAAAAAAAAAAATTTGGTCCATTTCCTTCCTGCCTCCTGTGATTGCCTGTGTTTTTCCACATCTGCAGAGCTCTCTAGATCCATGCTTCAAGTAAGCAGACATCAGCATTACACTGTGAGCATGTTCAGACAAAACTTCCTGGGCTGACCTCAGAGATCCTGATTCAGCAGGTCAGGTGGGCACAGAGAATACATTTCTCACCTGCTCCCCGGTGACGCTGATGCTGCTGGTCTGTGGACCCCACCATTCGGAGCAGCAAGGCTCCAAAATGGGAGCTTCTAGATCATCTTCAGAGAGTCCACACACTCCTAGAGAGTGGGTGACTGCGTGTGTACACATAACAGGCATGTCTGTTTGGGGAGAGATCCCACAACTTTCACCAGACTCTCAAAGGCGGATGCGACTGCCCCAAAGTTAAGATCTCTGCTAGTCAATGACCCTGTGACCTGCCTTAAGATGATCTAAATCTCTAAAGAATGTTCTTGATGCCCACAATCATCCTAAGGGGCAACATTCCGATTCTCCAGAGGCTCGCACTTGGGAGGTTCAAGCTCCAAGAGACCTGGGGCTGTCAGACCTTCAGTCTAACCAGGAGGGCTTACTGGCTCCCCACAGCTGTCTGAACCACATCCTGAATGCTGATGAGTCACTCGAGAGGGAAACAAGAGAACAGAGCAGAAATCAACGCAGTACAGGAGTCACTTACTTGGAGGAGATACTCAAGTTTATAAGAAAACTTATGCAGGCTGGTGCTGTCATCCGTAATGGGCTCCCCTGCTTCCTTAAATTCTTTGCTTAGCTCTGTCACAGCATCTTTAAGACAACAAATGGGAACACGTAACTGGCCTCAGAGAGAGAAGCAGAATAACCCCGGGAAGCACGAGGAGTAAGTGGTCAGTGATGGCGGAGCACCTGGGAAGCAGAAAGTGGGATGTAACCCTAGAAGGAGGGAATGCTGAGTCTGAAGGTGCTCAGGGGTCCAGAGAGCCCACAAGTACTCTACCACTGTTCCCTGACTGGGCACATTTCTTGGTCCTCCCTGTAGGCTCACCTTGCAGGCCTTGTAATATGCATGCAGGATTTGGTCAATGAAGGTTTGGTACGTGCATGAATCACTCAGCAGGCCCCTCATACTGACTTCCAGAGAGCTTTATCCTTCCTTCTGGCCCTGTGTCTTGTTGTTCCTCACTATAACCCTACTGCTCAGTACAGGCTAAGTCCTGGCTTCAAGAAGACCCAGAATGTGCAAATAAGAGTAACGAGAACAACCCCAAGAATGACAACAATGAATCTGCTTCTGTGAGCTGAGTGCCCATCAGGGGCCAGGCCTTTGCATGTCTTTCTCATTTAATACAGCACTGTGAGGGGGGCATGGTTTTATTTCCACAAATCCAACAAGCAACTGGTTTTAAGAAGATTCCAATTTCAGAACGGTTAAAATGTGGGGGGAAGAAAAGTACAAGTGGAGAATGACGAAGGCTGATATCATCATCCCTGTTTGGCAGATAAGGAACTCCGGGAGAGGTCAGGGCACTTGGCCAGAGACCACGGGTTGCAAACGGCAGAGCTGGAATGAGAAGCCTGTTTTCTCCACGGCTTTCTGACTCTGGAGCCTGCCTCTCCACTTCTAAGACAATCGACCTCCCTGTGCAGAAAAGAGGGAAAACCACCTTTATTCTCACTTACAGCCTCTGCTGTGGCACAGAGGGACGGCGAGAAGCTGGGTTTGGTGTAGATACTGGGAAGCATGCTCCCAGTCGAGATGGTGGGGGCACGATGCACAAACCATCTTGCTCTGTGATGGCCCATAAGGAAGAGGCGCCCCCAGCCCCCGCTTTCTAGAACCATGGCTGGAAAGCAGACCTGCCCAGCACCGAAGCTGAGCCTGAGCTGCTAAAATTTCATCGACACTGACCCCTCGGGCAGAGGTCAGCAAAAGGCAAAGACAGGCTCTTGGGACTGATTCTTAGACCAAATGACTGCTACCCAGTGGCACTGGCATCCTCTAGAAGTGTTTGCTGTGGCTGGCATCGAGAGAGCCAGGGGGCGGGGGGGCCAGGACCAGGGAAGACGCACAGCCTTCCTCCCCCACCCTCAGGCGGGGTTAACGCTCACAACCTGATCTGGGAACTCCTGAAATTCTGAAAGGAGGAGCCTTGCGTATGGAATAGGAAGTGTTCAGCTCTAATCTCTGCTAATCCAAGTACATTACTTATGAATAATCTTAGTTTTCTGTGAATTATACTTTTGCCTCTGCCAACAATCTTGAGAAGTGGGTGTCATCATCAAGCTGATCTAGCATGTGAAAGAAGCAAGAGGACAGGACCTTGGAAAGGTGATGGGACTTGTCCAACTTCTTCTAGGGTGAAAAGGCGGAGCCAGGAGCTGACCCCAAGGCCCTCGTCACTGCTGTCACCAGGAGGATGAGTGGGCTGCCCTGCAGAGGCACGAAGGCTACGTGCTGCCCAAGGACACCTCAGTTAGGGATGCACCGTTCCTATGCTCCATGCCAGAGATTTCGTGTGTGCCGACGAGGACAGTTACCAACAGATGCAAGGGTTGAGAAAGCAGTGTGTCAAAGCGCTCCGCGGGCTGGGTGAGGGACACTGAGACGGCCTTGGGATGTCGGGGACGATGAGACCAGCCAGGATGTGGGGTGAAAAGGGCTCCTGAACAATGCCAATGCTTGTCTTCCTCCCTGGATCAGGAGCACTAGCAGGGGGGTCCTCTCTTCCTCTCTCTTCCCTCCCAATAAAGACATCTGGGTCCCAAAGTCATCCCAGAAAACCAGAGACTGACACGCAGAAAAAAGGGCCTACTTTGTGGAGAGACTTCTCAAGGCCAGTGGTGAACTCAGATTTGCAGAGATTGTCATTTTACTTTCTCTGCTTCTGTGTGTGTGTGCACATGTGTGTAGGCTTAAGAAAAAAACCCAGCTAATATTTTAGCTGGAAGTAGGCTGGTGTGGTTGAGTGCAGACTCTGGCACCTGGTGTGTGTGCAAACCCAGGCTCTGCCTGACTGGATGTGTGACCTTAGGCAAGTCACTTAACCTCTCTGTGCCTGTCTCTGCATCTGCAGAATTGGGGTAATGGTTCCTACTTCACAGACCAAATGTGAGGACTCCATGAGTCATTATCCATAAGGCATGTGTAGGACAGTGCCTGGTAAATGTGAAATGCCATGTGATTATTAGCTATTCAAGGCCCCAAATGCTATATAAATGGGTAGAGAAGCCTGAGAGTGCTTCTTATCTTAGCGCCTTTTGACGTGCAGAATGAGAAGCATACAGTGGCCACCACTTGCCCAGTGGCCCTGGGTGTGACAGACTGCAGTTGGTCATCACTGGGCCTGAGCAGGTAGGAACCTGGACCTTCAGTCTGTCGGGAGAGCATCACTGTAATCCCTGCGACAAGCAGGAAGCGGTCAGCTTCAGACCGTGTGGTAGCCAATGTGCTAGCCAGTGATTTGCAGGGGGGTGGGAAACTTGCCAGAATTCTGACCCCTGGGATATCACCTAGAAGGGTGAACTCGGGCCCTGGACTCTCCTCCTGATTCTACTCCACTTCTCGTGTACCTCCCCTCCCCTGCCCTTCCCCAGGGAGATGAGAGTTACGAGTCTCAGTGGGTTTGCTGAGCTCAGGGAAGTCTGGGAGGCAGCAGGCCCAGAACTACAGTGCGTCATAGGAGGTAGGCTGTCCGCCTGCCAGGACTAGGGAGGACAGCAAAACAAGAAAGGCGGGTGCCTGGTCATCCTGCTCAAAGGGAAGGAGAACATGCCTCCCCAAGTGAGCCAACTCCATCAGAGCCTGAAGGCTCATGATTCAGCCAAAGACTTAACAGGTGGCTTGAAAACATGCATACACACACACATACTGAAAGCAGAGCCAGACCCAGAAAAGGGTAGTGGATTTTGTTCACAAACTGACTTTACAGTACCCTAAGAGGAGAGCCAGGCCAGCTCTCCCAGCCTGACCTGGGGTGTACACCCGGGCCCCAAACACTTCCACACGCCGTGTCCCCAGGGCTCCCATTACTCTCCGCGTGACAAGCATGAGAGGGCGACAGCAGGAGCACAGCCCCAGCTCCCCCCGGAGCCGAGCCCCATGTGCCTCCCCCTCCCCCAACAGACGCACCTTGCAAATCGCGGATGATTCTCTGCAGCTGGCTCTCTGCCATGGGGGAAGCCATGGTGACTGGCTGCAGGCCGCCTCTCTCGGCTGTGCGCCTCCTGCCTGGGTCCGGTCAGCAGAGGTCAGACTTCATGGCAGCACCTGCACGAGGGGAGAGGGAGGCCGTGGAGGAAGCAGTCACAGACGCACCGTGAAGACAGCGGGAGAGGAGCGCTGCCCTGGGCACAAGGTCACCCCATCTGGGCATCTTCCCTCCATGGGCAGGGCTTGACCTTCCGCGGGGGCCTTGCTCGGTGGGCATTTCTCTGGCTGGCTTCTGACGTGCCTATATTTAGACACAATGACCTGGGCTGGGGCTTTAAAAGCAGCAAGTTCAACCGAACAGCATGACCCATTCCTTCTGAGCTTCTCTCTTCTTCTACCCTCTTGGGCAGGATGGCTTCACTCTCCTTCTACCTTTAGAAATGCCTCCCGGGGGCTCCCCTCATCCCCGTTCACCAAGGCCAGAACCAGCCCAACCCAACCCACACGCCACACTCAGAGGGCCCGCTGAGCCGACGGATGCTGGCCACCACCAGACCCGTCTCCCCCACGCCTGGCCCCATGTCCTCCCCCAGCTTGCTTCCTCCGAGGAAGGTCAGTAACCTCTGGCCGGATGGCGGGGGAGGCGGGAGGCTGAGGACCCTTGGGGCTTCGGGATCAAGGAAAGCCAGCCTTGCCTGGTGGGGGAAGCAGCTCCCTCGTGGGGGCTCAGCAGCTCCAGCTGCCCCAAGTCCAGCTCAGCCTGGCTGTGCAGACACTGCCTGGCCTGCACTGGGGGCTGGCGCAGCCCTCAGGTCCAGTCTAGGGACACATCTCTATTTTAAGCTTGGTTACGGTCCTCTTGTAGCTGGTGAGTCCTTGAGTTACCGGCCATGCTCGGGCAGCTGCTGAAGTGATCTAAGGACACAGTAGTGGCTGAAGACCAATGGAGGTGAGGAGACATGAGTGGCAGTGGGAAGAAGTCTGGATATGTACTGGGACGCTCTTGTGTCCCTCCTTTAGAATCTCCAATTCTTTCCTCAGATGTCCACTGCGAGGTTGCGCAATGCTTGCTGGCAAAAGCCGACAGGAAGACTAAGGTGGCCATTGGGGAGCCACCACTAAATGAGGGCTTACTGTGTGCCGGGTGCTGGGCCCTGTTAGGTGCTTGACACATGTGATCATTTTAATCTCACAATCACCCTAGTGCGGTAGATAAAGTGCAAAGGAGAACCTGCTGTTCTAGAAGTCCCGTGACTTGTCTAAGGCCATGGGCCAGTAAGGAGTAGAATCGTGGTTTGCTCCCTGGTCAGTCTGATCCAAACCCTGTGGATCCATAGCTGAGCTGTCGTCACTATTGCAAATGACCAACCACTTCCCCTGGCTTCTAGGAACCGCCCCCTCCAGCGTCTCCCAAATAATGTGCCGCCACCCCGAGTGTTTCTAACATGTGCTGGCCCTCACTTTCTCACAGCCATATTACCCTTCCTGCTCCAAGTGTCCACAGGAGAGAAGACTCTGGGATAGAAATGGTCCCAGGTTTCAAGTTCCTCCAAATATTTACAAAAGCATTCCAGCGTGGGCCAGAAGTGAGAAGGGCCTGTCACTGGGCGGATATGCCAAGGCCTATCCTTAACTAACAAAACCAGCACAGCAATGACTCGGTGCAAACAAGGCCCAAAGAGGGCTTCTCTGGCTTAGGGGGAATGACAGGCACACACCGATACCACACTCCCAGTAATTCCTGACATGGAGTCCAAGAGATGCAGGGGATCCACAGAGAGCCCTCCAAAGGCCCCTCACAAGGGACAGCACCCTGCCCATCACAGGCACCAAACCGAGGGTGGGAGTGGTTTTCGAGAAGCCAGCCCACCCATCCCTGGGCGTCTCTCCAGGTCACCTGCTAAGCACAGAGCCTAAGTGGGGACCAGCCAGGGCTCTACAGAGACATCTGCAGGGGCTCTGAGGCTCCGGAGGACACTCTGCCCCTTCTGGAGAGGTAGAGGGTCCTCGCTGTCAAAGCACAGCTGTCCCAGAACCACACTGTCAAGTGCCTACTATGTGCAGGCTGGGGACACAGAGGCACGCAAGGCACCGTTCAGCCCTGGAGGAGCTGAGCTGTGCGCCAAGGAGAAAGACAGAAAAATATCCAGATATCTGGACACGGTAGGAGAGGTCCATACAGAGATATGAATAAAAAGTGATGGGTACTCAGCCACGAAAAGGGCTGAGCCGCAGATACATGCAAGAAATGCTTTCTGCAGAGTGAAAACAGCCAGCCTGAAAGGCTATATACTTGATGATTCCATTTGCAGGCTATTCTTTTTTTTTTTTTTTTAATTATTTATTTGACAGAGAGAGAGGGAGAGAGCACAAGCGGGGGAGCGGTAGGAAGAGGGAGAGGGAGAAGCAGGCTCCCCGCTGAGCAGGGAGCCCCACATGGGGCTTGACCCCAGGACCTCAGGATCATGACCGGAGCTGAAGGCAGACACTCAATCGACTGAGCCACCCGGGCGCCCCAATTTGCAGGCTATTCTTGCAAAGGCAAGACGTGGGAAGAGAGATCCCCTGGGTAGTTGCCAAGGCCTGGGGGTGAAGGCGAGGGCTTGACTCTGAGAGTCTCCAGAAATTGGGAGAGGCAGTTCCATTCTGTGCCTTGCTTATGGTGGTGGTTACGTGACCGTATGTGTTTGCTAAACATGTATTTGTCAAAACTCACAGATGGTGAATGGGGCCTCAACAAAAAAGGCAGCCCTTTGATGAATTTGGAAAGATGCCATGGGACCTAAGGAAGGGAAAATTAATGCTGCCTGGGGGAGGGAGAGGGTGAGAGACGGTGGCAATGGAGCTGGGCCAGGCCTGCAAAGTGAGGGTGAAGTCTCTGAAGAGACCCAAGGAGGAAACGGCACCAGGATGGGGGCTCAGGGAGCAAGCCCAGAGAAGCTTCTCTCCCTGACTTCTCTCATTTGACTATGGTCAGTGGAGGGCCTTGTTCCTGGGAGAAATAAACTGAGAGGAAGACGACCCATACCCCCCAAGTCCTCAAGAGCAGCCCCCCCCTGCCCCCGGGCCGTGTGCACGCTTCAGACTAGGGTGAGACCCGCACGGTGGACGAGGGCAGAGAGTGACCCCAACAACAGGTTCTGAGTTGCCTCACCCGGGCTCCGGCTGGGCCCACGCACCAACAGTGGAAACCAGCCCTCTCTGAGGCCTGGCCAGTTGGAAAACGAGGTCTGCAGACCAAAGCGGCGTCCTGGCATGACAGGCCTCAACAGGCAGAAATGGGCTCAAGACTCGCCGGCCCCTCTGGGGAAGCTGTGGCCGCATGCGTGCGGGAGGCCTCCTCCACCTGACCCTCAGAGCGCGCTCCGCTGATGCCAAGTTCCCAGGTCACGGGGTGAGCTGGGCCCAGCTGCCGATGACGCAAGCTGGTTTTCCAAAAAGCCTGAGTCACCACCCAGGCAGGTAATGCGCCCCAGGAAACTGGCTGCTGGGGCTGCAGGTCCCGGTGGGCTTCCCCACGGCGGATACGGGTCCCACCTCATAGGGTTTCACGAAGTTAATCGGAGCCTCCTTGGAAGACCATGGCTACCATCGGGATGCTACTTTCCTGGGCGTGGGAAGGATGGCTCTTAGCATTTTGCCCCCCTCTTCCCTGGTCTGAGGTCATTATTAACCACTGGAAGGCACAGAACGAGGCACCATGTCTCCCACACTGTGGTCCACTTCCTTGTGTCTGGAGATAAACTTGCCCTTTGGTTGAGGGATGAGAGACTTTTTATTCACAATGCTCCTGACACCAACATTGGCTTTTTTCCACACCAATAACCAGTTCTGACACCAACTACCTGGAGTTCGTGCAGACAGACCCCACAGGTCAAGGGCTCTGTCCATAAGACTGCTCTGGCTTCACACGCTGGTCACAAGTCCCAGGCTGCTTGTCCTTCTGACCAACTGGCTATAAATTGGGGGTCCCCACGATCCCCTCCTCAGGTTCGATAATTTGTTAGAACAGCTCACAAAACTCAGAGAAACATGACTATCACCAGTTTACTTTAAAGGATACAATTTGGGAACAGCCAAGGGGAAGAGATGCAAAGCTTGGGGAGGGAGGGGTTGGTTTGAGGTGTGTGGGGCTTCCATGCCCTCAGGGTTCCCCACCCTCCAGCACCTCAGCTGTTCACTGACCCAGAAGTTCTCAGAACCCCATCACTTAGGAGTTTTTATGGAGTTTTAATGGAGGCTTCATTACAGAGACACGGCTGATTAAACACTGGCCATTGGAGATTAACTCCATCTTCAGCCCCTCTCCGCTCCCAGAGGCCTGGGGTGGGGCTGAAAGGTCCAAATCTCTAATCACATGGTTGGTTCCTCCGGCAACCAGCCCCATCCCAAAGCTATCCAGGGGCCCACACAGTCACCATATTAGCATAAACTCAGGTGTGGTTAAAAGAGGCTTGTTATGAATAACAAAAGACACTCCCATTACTCAGGAAATTCCTAGAGTTCCAGAAGCTCTGTGGCGGGAACCTGAGGCAAACACCAAATATCTATTTCTTATTGTATCACAGAGATCACAGACTTCAGGCATGAAGCTGCCTGATCCTGACAACGCATTAGCAAACGGCTCTCGTAACTCAGGAGACAGAGCTTCTAACCACACCGTCTTGGCCACCCACAACTGCTTCAGCACCAGGGGAATGACTCCAGGACTCCCACACCTCCCAAGACCCCCAAAGCACAAATCACCTCCATGAACCCAGGGTCCTTGCTGCAGGACCTGTAAAAACCTCCATTGCGTGTCTCTGGCAAGCTCTTTCAAATACCAGAGACATTCATTTCATAAAATTTCATAACATTTATAAAAAGAACATTGAATCCTCTTGTCAACGACTCAGAATTATGTTTAAGCTTATCCAGCACGTCTAAAAGCATCTGATACTCTGATAGAGTGCAAAAGGGGCTAAATGCATTTTTTAAAAACTTATTTATGACCTGGGCCTATTGCCTGAGTTCCTAGTCATAGCTTCGGTATTATTTTAGAGGTAAAGAACCTTCCCCAAACTCCAAATTCCTCCTATACCTGCCCAGATGCCCTAACAATAGAGAGAGCAGTTTAGTCCCAAATTAAGATACAGAAACACCAACTGACTCGTGTAAACTTATTTAGACTCTGGTGCTAATGACTCAGATTCATAATGTTGCCCAGAAATCGGCTTTGGCAGGAGCAGTAAAGCATCTGACTAGTCACATTAAGGAAAGAAGGGTCCGAAGGGGAGGAGGAGGTTTGGGGCGTGGAAGACAACCTTGCCCTGTCTTCAGAATTTGTGGTACTTGCTCCTAACCCAATAGCTGAGAAGGGCCCCGGAGACGCCCACACAGTTGGGCTCCTCCCCCCCCTCCCGGTGAATTCCACCCAGACCGAGAAAGAATGTGAACAAGGGCGGTTCAGATCAGCCAAAGGCAGAAAGCCTTTCTGGAAGAGTCCATTGCCTTGGCCTGGTTCAGCACACCCAACAGCATCTAACTAGTTGCCACCTCTGGAGAGGGGGAGCACTTGGCTGGTACCTGCAGCTCTGAGGCGCGGCGGTCCTGCTGGCTCAGCCCTGGAGCGGTCGCTAGGCAGGCTGCCCTCAAGCAGAGCCTCACGAGGGTGCCGAGGAGAGTGCTCAGGAGTCTGTCAGAGCCCAGCTCAGAGGCAGACACGTCAACAGAGGCTCATGAGGCGACCCAACCCCTCAGACCTAATTACAGTGTTGATCAACTGCATGCCTGGGCCATCTTTCCCACACACTCCTTCTTGCTTGTGATCTTTCGTAAAGGGAGTGGAGACTTGAGCCTTTGCCATCACTTCTTGAACCTTCTCTTGGCCTCGGCCCTCCCACCAACGATTCCAGGCTTCTCGGTCACTGCCCCTGGAACACACAGAGAACTGGTTCCAGTTCCAGCCCACTGGCCCACAAAGGCAGGGTCGAGAGACCTGTGGATGGGAAGTGTTGCCTCTGGGGGCCTGGGGGAAGCTTTCTTTTTTTAGGAAGGGGGGCAGCTGCTCTGAAAGGAGCCACACAACCATACCTGAGGTCTTGCCACTGGAAAGCCCAGAGAAACTATGAGTGCATATGTGGAACTCTGGGCAGTCTTTAGAACAGTTGCTTGAACACTTGAGAGCTCAGCTGGAGCACCTATTTCTTCCTAGCCCCCACACAGCACAAACCCCACCCGGATGGAGAAAATTGCAGAGCTCTGGAACCATATGCTTGGGCGACTCTCCTGACCCGAGTATCAAGGGGGTCAGTCCAGCCAGGGACGAATTACGAACTGAAACTCTGATAGAATGTGCTTTAGCACTAAACACAGCCTTGAGGAAGACCACGTGTAACCCGTATGTGTTAAGAGACTGCCAGCCGGGCAAGAAGGATTTGCTGGGCCCCACTAGTAAGACGCAGGCCTGACCCAGGAGCTGGGCTACAGCCGTGAGCAAGGCCGGTGGGCCCTGCCCTTCATGGAACCCACACTCCAGAGGGGAGGACAGCATACACCCTACTAAGCTTAGAGACAAATAAGAGATCACTTAAGGCCTCAGAAGGGCTTGGATGAAAAGGAGGTGAGCACAGAAGGCAACCCGATTCTACTCTGCTCATGATTCTAAGCCCCCACTGCCTTTCTTCCACGTTTGTGGTCATTTGCCAGTATGGTAATTTCTCGTTTAACCTGTTCTTCCCACCTGTTTGTAAGCTCCATTGCTTCGCACCATTTCCCCAGCACCTAGCACACTTCTGATTCGTGGAGAGCCCGCGATAAATTACTTGTTGAAGGAATGAATCAGTCAGACAAAACCAACCCCAAGACTCTTGCTCCACAAACCAAACTAAATTTTAGGCATAGAAATGTACCAACATGTAAATAATGCTAATCATCCTTCCATGGTAGGAAACATGGGTAAATTTTCAAAAAAATTGATTTCTCTGATTTTTCATTTTTCCTTTACTGGACACAAATTACTTTTATGTTGACTAAAATAATGCATTAAAAAAACACGTTGTAATTACAGATGTTAATACCGTCATTATTGTAGAAATACTACGGAATTATTATCCCAAGAAGGAATGGAATAATGTAACTTAGGGACTGGATGGATTAAGCATGTCTACGGGCAAAAGTGTGCCCACAGCTCCGGCCTGAGACAGCCTTACCCAGAAGCCTCCTTCACCCTATCCGGACAAGGGTAACCACGGCCGCTCTGGCCACCTCCCCCACTCACCCAACCCTCCCAAAGCCCTTCCCTGTCTGCATCCCTGGGACTTTGGATCTGGAACATCAACCAGGAACACTCCCAGGGTCGGGGAGGTATTGATGGGTCTGAGCTCCGCTGTGCTCCTTGGGTGACAAGAGCAGCATCCGGGTGCAGACGGCAGGGGGTGGGGCTAAGCTGGCAGACAGGAAGGGCGAGCAAGAGCCAGGATGGCTCTGAAGCTGGAGTTTGGCAATGGGCAAGAAAACTGTCCTCTCTTTTACCAACTGTAGCTGAGGCTTGCCAATTTGCACCCTATTCAGATTTTGGAATCCGACTAGTCATGTGAAATTTCCATTCCCTAGCATGCAATGGGTAATGCAATAAAGATCGTGCCATGATTGGGTGAGACTGCTATATTCAGCTCACCAAACTCTTTTCAAGGCAATTTAAGCAAATCTGTCTATCTTGGGGAAGTTGTTTGACCTTTTTTCCCTGTGTTTTTGTTTTGTTTTTTCCCCCACGTGCAATGTGGGGAGGTTACCCTTTATCTTCCTTAAGGAAGAGGCGGGGAAGGAGAGGAGCAGACATTCCCAGTGGCTAACTTCCCTGGAGGCTTCTAAGTGCCCCCTCCCTGCTCTTGACCAAGGCTCCAGGAGCCCTGGAAGCAGCCCATGGGGCTACAGGTTCAGCTTGAGGAAATTCCTTCTGGCTCCTTGTGAAACCACCACCCCTGGTTCAGCTGTCCAGCCCACCCTGAACCTCCCCCGGCATCCTCCTCTTGGCCTAGCTGCCCCCCCCCCCCCGCCCCCGCCCCAGCCGCATACTTATGGCTTGTTTGGATTGTTTTTGTACCTCAGGTTTTTCTTCTGGATTCCACAGGCTCCCCTAACTCGGTTTTTTGCCCCAGGCCAAAGATGCAGTACCCCAGGCTCCTGAGGTGGTCAGCCAGACCAGCCCCAGGGCCCCAGAACCAGCTGCAGGAACCAGGGCCCCAGAACCAGAGCACAGAGTCCCCTCAGAACCACGCTGATGTACACATCCTCATCCCTGCAAACAGGATCTGGCCAAACTAGAAACAGGTGCTTGGTGTCTTTCAAATGCCACAAAGGCCTTTGTGAACAGGGAGGACCATTGGTGGTCACAAAAACCATCAGGCTGACTGGCTCCAACATTGAAAGAGGGGAAAACACCTCCTGCCCCACTGAGCACACTCAACCATCCTCATCTCGTAAAAGCCATGAACCCATGTGCTCTGAGGCCGAAGCTCATATTATAGGTCAGTCCAGTGACAAACAGTATGTCTAAAAGCAGCAAAAGGCTGGGGCGCCTGGGTGGCTCAGTTGGTTAAGCGACTGCCTTCGGCTCAGGTCATGATCCTGGAGTCCCGGGATCGAGTCCCGCATCGGGCTCCCTGCTCAGCAGGGCGTCTGCTTCTCCCTCTGACCCTCCCCCCTCTCATGCTCTCTCTCGCAAAAAAATAAATAAATAAATAAATAAAAATAAAAAAATAAAAATTTATAAAAAAAAAATAAAAAAAAATAAAAGCAGCAAAAGGTTAAAGACAGACCCATGGAAACATTTCAATATCCACCCTACTGATTTATTTACTTGTTCAAACAGAGACTCTCATACCAATCAAAAGCTTTAAAAATAAAAACGAACGAACGAACAAAAACTCCAAAAAACTGGCACTGAGCTCACAAGCAGAAAATACTGTTCATCTTTGGAGTGACACAGTGACATTCCGCACTAGGTGAGCAGATGCGGACAAGGCCAAACTCCACTCATCTCTGCTCACCGGCGGCATCTGGCTGGTTACGAGGCACCGTTAATGCCCTGACCTGCTGTGTGCCGTGGGGCTGCTCCAGTGAATGTGGCCCCAAACTCTGAGTTCCTACCAGTGATTTGCACCACGAGACCACAGCTAGGCAATATGCTTCCTCTGCCTCGTGTTTAAAGACATTCCAGTCTTGGCTCACCAAAGTCATCCTTGGAATCACCAGAAAATACAGGTTCCCCATCAGCCAAACCTCTGCCCTAAAGGGAAGAGAGGGACTGCCATTTCTCGGGTGCCTATTACGCGTTCTGGAGGCGGCAGCCCACAGCCTCGGTGACTGATACAGGTCAATGTCACCAGCTGCTCTGATCTTGTCTGTTTGGGGCGGTTCCTCTGATCCCAAACATCTGTGGGGGCCATCTTCCCCTAAAAGGACCAGGCTAAAAGCATGGGTCCCGAATCCTTGCTATTGCCCCCGAACCAGCCACAAGGAGCAAGAACCGTCCAAGGAGTAGCTAGAGGATCGACTCTAAAGCAACTACAAAAATAATCAAAGTCGAATACGACTTGTGGACTCTAATAGGTGGGCACATGTTCACTACACAATTCTTGCAATGATTATGTGCTCCTAATAAAATACTGAAAACAATTTAAAAGCGAAACGAAGCACTACACAAAGATGAACACTTTTAATAGAAGCAGGAAATCTGTTTCCTAAAGCAAGAGCCGTTTCAGATCCTTGTAATCACAGAAGGCCACGTCCCTTCACTGAAACAATTAGCTCTGATTTCCAGGATGGTCACAACGATGGCCCACAACTGGACAGGGCATTCAGTAATTGATGAAGAGCGGCTGTCACAGAAGGGAGGGTCGAGTGGAACCCACTCAACACGGGCCCACCTGCGAAGGTGGGAGCCACAGAAAGCATTAGACCTCAGCCAGATGGCTCTTTCCCGGCACCAACAAGCAGGGGAAGCCGCATTAGGCAGATGGCAAGCGAGTAAAGCTTTCTACACAGACCACAGGGCTTGCAGGCGCAGGAGGGCAGTGAGCAGATTACAGCCTGATCCTCTGCCCTCAAAGAGCCGCTGACCCATTTCTCTGTGGGAAAGGAAACTGCCCGCAGTAAGGGCAGTAAGACAAGCAGAGGGGCAGAGACCGCTGCCAACACAAAGCAGTTTCTGTAAGTGTTCTATTTTTCTCTAGAGGGGGCAGCCAATGGGAGCTGTGAGGAGTGATAAGAGGCATCAGAGGACACATGTGCATTAACAGGGAACCACGTGGTTAATGTGTCAACCGAACACACTTTCCTTACACAAAAATAAAATAAAACCCAGCCCTCCCCCTACAACAACCCCCACGCTAGGTTCTGGATAGCACGGACTCTTATCTAGCCCAAGACCCAGGCGGCCACACCACAAGCCCAAAACCACAGGTGTTTCAGGAAAGATCACTGGGGGGCTAGCTCGAGATCCTGCACCTGAACACGAGGTAAGGAGAAGGGACCAAGGCCTGAAGATGGCCCGGGATGAACGAACTGTCCCCTTATGGGTGGAAGGGCGAAATGAAAAGGTCTGGGCTGTCCCGGCCCAGCTAAGCCAGGAACTTCGCTTTTTAAGGTCAGCAGCCTCCCGGACAATGCAAGCAGAAACTCCGGGGACCTGTCTTCCTGTGCCTAAGGGATCCAAGGCTTGTTCTGAGACTCCCATATGGTGGGCTCCTTGCCGGCCCCTCGGCATCGGAGGTCCTGGAGCTGGTGTTTGGGGGTCTTTCTAACTGACCACCGGAGGCAGCCTGGGTTCCAGGTTCGTTTCAGCCCCGGCCCGAGGTGCCTCCCAGACCCGCTGGATAAGGGCAAGGTCTCGGGCGGGGTCTGGGGGAGACCCGGGATGGGCGGGGACGGTGAGGGCAACAGGTGAGAAGCCGCGCCCGGAGGGAAGTTCTCAGCTCCCAGGCCGACAGCGGCCCAGGCTCCCCCAAGGTCCGGCCGGCCCCCCGCGGCACTTACGCGCTCGTGGGTCCACCGCTGGGCAGAAGCGAAACTTTCTGGGGCCCAGCGGAAGAGTGCGGTAGCGCGGCGTGGCCCGCCATGATACGCAGAGCCGCCGCAGGCGGGCGCGGACTACAACTCCCGTCATGCTCCGCGGGGGCCGATGCCTACAAGTCCCGTCGGACCCCACAGCACCGGGGTTCCGATTACGACTCCTGGTTCGCTCCCTGCATCTCCCACTGGCGCCGCGGTGCCACCGGCCCTAGCTTAAGCCTTGCGGTCGCCGCGGACTCGTGTGTCCGCAGATTGTCAATGTGGCACCTTGAAAGCAGCGTTGTCCCCGTGCGGCTTTTGAGAACTTGAAACGCGGCTAGTTCGAGTTGAATCGTACGTGGGCTGTAAGTGCAGAAATACACCTGACTTCCAAAGACTTCGTATGAAAAACATAATATGAAATAGCTTATTTACTACTTTTATACGGATTACATGTTGAAACGATAATATTTTTGATACGTTGGGCAGGCTAAATGAAAAGCACTATGTATTGCTGGGCTTCCCATCTTTTGATCCCCTCACTTCTTAACACCGGGACCTGCTGGAATTCAGTGCTCAAAAAGTAAATGTTAATGAATAAACTACCATCCCTGACTTCTGCCCCACTCTCGGCCCGATTTCTATTTATAAGTTCTATTTTCTATTTATAAGTTGCAAGGTATTCTGAGGATGGACTCGAGAACAAAACCTGTTCATTCATGACGTCTGCTATGGACACAAGACAGAAGAGCATCCGGACGCGGCGTACTTCAGCCTGTGACTGAAGCCTGGGCTCTTGTCATTCCTTAGCTCTGGCTGCACCATCCTTTACTGTCTGCCCTTGTTCCCACCATTCAATCTAGAAATAACTTTCAATCTCACAGGATTTAGCTGGCGGTGTCCAGTCAGGTGCCATGGCCCCAGCATTGCCTGGGTGGGATCATACAGGAAAGGAAATAGATTTCCTAGTTAAGGTTAGGCTATGGCATGTCATTAGTGCTCTTTTATAAATGAATTAGGTATAGATAAGTCAGTGGTTAGATGGATGGACGAGCCAATTTGTGAGGGTGGCAGGGAAGTGACTTCCCTTCTTCTTGTTAAAAATTATGAAAGGAAGAGGAAAGAGGGGGAGGATGGCAAAGGGAAAGTCATTGTTTCAACCACAGTCTGAAAGGTTTTGTGACATATTATGGATGGGAGAGATTTTAATGTCAGATTTTAGTGCCATTTTCTCGGGACTGTGACCTCACAGCCTCGGGACTGTGACTCCACGTGATTGGGGCTGTGACCCCACATGTTCAGAGACGTGGCGCCAGTGAATAGGTCATGACCCTACGTGCCAGAGGACTTGACCCCATGTCCCCGGGGTCGTGACCCCATGTGCTTGAGGCCATGTCCCCACTTGATCAGGACTGTGAGCTCACATCCTCGGGGCGGTGACACCATGTTCAGGTCCATGACCCCATGTCCTCTGAGTAGTGACCCCTTGCGCCAGGGCCTGTGACCCCACATCCTCGGAGCTGTGACCTCTTGCCTCAGGCAGTGACCCCACGTGATTGGGGCTATGAATGTTGGAATGTGACCCCTCTGAGCCCTGATGCCCTCCTTGGTCTAAGTGGGAAACAGAAACCTCACAAGGTGGTTATGAGATGTAAAAATGGGGCCCGGCACAGAGCAGATCTCAATAAAAGTCTGTTTCCAATCTCCTGTGGGTGTCTTCAGTCAGATGCAATCTTCTGTGTGGGCAGGGTAGACACTGAAGCCTCACGAGGGGCTCTGAGATGCACAAGACTTCCCTGCATACCCACGGAGTTTGGTGCCCTATATTAGCCTGCTCATGCTGCCGTAACAAAGTCCCACAGACTAGGTGGCTTAAACAGGTATCCAGGGCAGAAGTCTATGATCAGGGTGTCTGCAGGGTTGACTCCTTCTGAGGCTGTGAGGGAGCACCTGTTCCATGCCTCTCCTAACTTCTAGTGGTTGCTGGCAATCTTTGGTGTTCTCGACTTATGAGAGTATAACTCCAGTCTTCACATGGCATTCTCCCTTTGTCCCGGTCTGTGTCCAAATGTCCTCTTTTTATAGGGACACCAGTCTTATTGGATTATGGGCCTGTCCTCACCTATATGACCTCATTTTACGTAATTACGTATGCAGTAACCATCTTTACAGAGAAGGTCACATTCAGAGGTACTGAGAATTAGGTCTTAAACATAAGAATTTGGTGGGGAGTAGGAGGAGGACACAGTTCAACCCATACGTGCCAGAAACTATAGGTTTGTATCCCCTAAAGAACCTCATGGAAATGCAACTCATGAAATTATAAACCCATACACTTCATTTTTTTAATTACAGGAAGGGATCTTAGAGATAACTGAGTTTAAACCTCTCCAGTTACGCTGAGTAAATAAGGAGGGGAAGTGGTTTGCTAAAGATACAGCCAGAAAGGTGAATGTGACTTCCTATAAAGACCAATATTTGTGGGTTTCCTCTAATTTTTAAATAAACAGAAGATGCTTTGAAAAATTAGTAATGTTCAATGTTGATTTTTTTAAACTCACATTATCCTTACTATTGGAAAAAATCAGAGGCAGATTGTTGAACCAATTATAACCAAAGTGAGGGGAAAGATATAGGTGGGTACTTCTTCCCCAAACTCCCGTAGTTCATTGCAAAGTGCTTTGAAATGGTTTTAATGACACGTTTAAGGTGATGTTTTCAGGGTGGGCCTTCCCAATTGTGTGGACAATCGAGCCATGTAATTTTCTCTGCGTCAAGAAGGTTCATCCAAGTCATCTGGAAAGAGGGCCAGCAATTCCCTGGGACTAGAGTAACCCTATGGAAATCTTTCCCCAAATAGGAATGACCAGAGCCTGGCCAACTTGAGAATGGGGCTAATTGGTCTTTGCGGTCTTACACCCCTCCCCCAACAAGGGCTTCCCGCTGCCTTCACACAGAGTAGGCCTCCACGTGTGGCCAGGAACATTCTGGAGGTCTACCTACCCCCTCTTACCTCCTGGCCCCATCTCTAATCCTTGCAACTATCCAGTTCTCCATGCCCACCCACTGCCATATCCTCTCTCTAACTATGAGTGATGCTCAAGTCTGATTTTCTGATATGGTCAAAGTCAAGGAACCAAGCTGCCATTGTCCTTCAGTCCCACACTTTCTTTTGTGGAGGGGCTAGGGGTATGGAAGAGAAGGTTACAGCCACCTTACACCTAAAATCTGGGCTGGCCCCAAGGTAGAGAGGGGAGTTCAGGATAACCCTTGTTCCCCTTCCCAAACTTCCCCCAAACCTTCAAAGTATCTCCCACCAAGTTTTCAGGATCCCCCAAATTCCCAGCATGAAGGGTATCATTCCTTCTGATTGGAAGGCTGATCACTGAAAAGTCCTTATTCTGACAGAATGGGTCATGAAATAGGAAAAAACCTTGGACTTGGAGACAGCCAACTTAGGCCAGGGGAGAGATGAGCCATGGAGCACTCAAGACACAGTTGGCCTCCTGGACGATTTTGCCTAAGGCCTAAAAAGAGCCAATTTCCCACCATCCAGAGCCACACAAGGCTTGTTCCACACTTTATCTCCAATCCTCCTCCTGTATTCCTCCCTCCACCCTAAATCCTAACCCAGATCCTCCATAAGCAGAGAAATTGTAGGAGTCTTATATAATGACCTTGGGTAGAAATGAGGGGAACACAGCCAGAGGTGTGTCCATACGTGCTAATCTTTTATTTGCGCATATGATACAAGGATGCTTTCTGTCTTTAAGAGACGATTGCAGTAGTAATTCCTATTTGGAGCTGAATCATTGGCAAAGCAAGTACTTTTTATGCATATGACCTCATGTGCACCTCCATCATGTGGGTAGAGTCTGTTGTTGTGTGTTGTTGGCATATATATAGTTTTACAGATGAGGACACTGAGGGTCTGAGAGGCCCAAGGTCACTGTGAGTCAGTAAAGGAGCTTGGATTTGGGGTTTGGGTCTAGGGCTCAGATCCTGAGAGCCTTCTCGGATAGTCTACTTTGGGATATCTTCTGCTGGGCTTTTCCAGACTCATGGGCCTCCTTGTCCTGTCACAGGTAGGTTCCACAAATGAGAGCTGTCAGAAGTTCAGCAAACCAGGCAATGTCTGGGCTGATGGGCTCTAGGGAAGTGTTCGTGGGAAGCCATTGGGTGGTGCCTGGGGTTGACCGGAAGATGTAATGTAAGCAAGTGTGGAAAGAAAAAACAGAAGTAGAAAAAAGCCAAAAAGATGGTCTCCTATCCACTTACTCAACCAACCACAAACACCACGGGGCACCGAGGGAGGTTCTAGAGCTGCAACAGGAGCCTTGTGCCCTTGAGGAACTTCCACTCTGGCTAGGGTCATCTGAGGTCTGGGGCTGCCCTGCGCTTGGAGTTCCTAGTCAGAGACCAGCAAGGTTCCTCCTTTCCTGATTTTGTCCGAGAGATCGGGGAGGTAGAAATGCTGTGAAGACATCTTCCCTAGGAACCACGGTGGATGTTTTATGTGCCTGGAGCGGCAGGAGATCGGCAATCCTGTGTCCAGATCACTTTTGATTGACTAGAGGGGGAGGGACAGGCCCACAAGAGTCTAGCTGAGGTGGAACCATGGTTCTGTGGGTGGAGAGGGGGAAAGCAGGAGGTTGTGGCCAACAAGGGTGTGGTCAAGGTATGTAGAGAGTGGCCACTCGTGTGCAGTTCTTTGGTTGCGCTTTGCAGCTGTCTTGCCCACGTCTCCCTCTCTGATAGGATGCCCCTCTGTTTTCCCATTCACACCTCTGCTTCTCTGTGCCTTCCCCCTTGGATTCCCAAGGAACTAGATTAGGAGAAGACGCTCCACTCTCTACCCTTGGGGATGACAAAACATCACTAGAAATGTAAGGAGATGGATATGATTGTATTTAGTGACATGCTCTCAGGGGTATGGCTGAATGTGTTGAAAGAAATAGCGAAACATCTTTGGATGTGAAGGAATGGGATGGGATGAGATAATGAAGCGAACCTCTCAAAAGGCATGCTCTGTAGTAATGCAAGACCCCAAAACCTGCCTTCTAGGAAGAGTGGGGTTAACTGCTTTGGTTTTGGAGCTGGAGTCCTCTGCCCTTCTCCTCCCTGGGCTCAGCCTGCCCTCTGAATAAAAGTTGAACAAAACTTTAAGAGTATTAAGTTTGAAAGGGGCTTAGCTCTGAGCCCACAACTACCTCATTGTCTCCTTCCTTTTGCTGTCTCTTCTATCCATGCTGAGTCACGTTCCCACCTATTAGTTGGCAAGTCCATGAGAGCTTTATCCCTTCACTGGTACACTACCCAGTCCTCTCCAACAGGTGCTACTGGCCTAATTTTTAAAATTAGACCTTCAGTCTTCCCCAGCCAGGTAAAATGCCTCTAAAGCTGGCCACCCAGTTGCAAATGCATCGTTGAAACCATAGCTGGAAGTGAAGGGGTGAATGCTTTACATGTTCTCTAGGCTCCAGCTGAGGGCTGTAATAGTAGCTACTTTATACAACAGGCATATATTGAGTGCCTACTGTGTGCAAAGTCCTGCTCAAGGGACTGGGGAAGACTCTGGAATTCTCATTTTCAAGGACTTACAGCCAAATATACCTAACTGGGGTGCAGGTCAGAATCACAATGGCCCCACTTCAGAGCTAAATCAGATTGGGACAAAGTCTGTGTTGTATGGGAAAATTTCAAAGATGGGTTTTATCTATGTCCTTGGATGTGACACTATGGGACAGTGTGAGAGGCAGGCATGTGTACCGCTAACTAAAAAGGAAGGTCAAGTATAGCCATTGCCACAGAGAGGGATAAGCAAGGTGCTCTGAGAGCGTAGACTAGGGAAGAAAGGTTAATATTTATAAACTAGCAGCCTGAGGCAAGAAAGGTAGACTGTGTTCCCTAGGCATGGGTCCCCAAAATGCATAAATTAGAAGAATAGTGACAGCTGTCATTCTTTGCTCCCACTCAATACATAGTGATAGAACACTAAGACCCATGCTTGGCAGGGTGCAAGACCAGGTTCCTGCCCTCAGGCACTCTGCAGTCTGAGGGGGCAGGAAGATAAGACAAGAACAAGTGTAACTATGACACATGGCAGAGCGTGACAAATGCTATTTTAGAGGGGACAAGCAGAGTGCCACAGCATGCCAGAGGGTGCTCTTCCGATTTTCAGATAGGGGAGGGCTTCCTGAGGAGCTGGCCTTTCAGCTGGGGCTTGTAGGTAGCGGAGTAGAAGGACAAGTGTTCCAGGGCCCGGTGACCGCATGATGGAGGCCCAGAGGAGACTGGGTGAAGGGTGTCTGGAAGGATGGGAGAAGGGTGTAGTCTTTTGTGGTTGGATCCTGAGCTACATGGGGGTGATGACAGAAGGTGGAATAACAATGGAAAAGTTCATTGGCACCAGATTGCAGGGGCCCTGAAAGACTTGCTGAGGTGTTTGGGCTTTATTTGCATATAATGAGGAGCCACTAAGGGTTCTGAAGCACCCTGGTGTCCATTCAGAGGACACTTGGTGGGGAAAGGGATGAGCAGCAGGAGGATGCTGAGGAAGTGAGGTCATTTGGGGATGGAATCATGGGCATGCAATGAATATAGGCAAGAGCAACTCTGAGGGACATGGGGAAGGCAGAGTCAACAAGACTTCACTGTGGGAGTGGAGGAAAGGGAAATGCAGGACTCAGATGACTCAGGTTTGGA